AAACCTATCCATTCTGAAGGAAATCAACCCTGAGTGCTCACTGGAAGGACAGACCCTGAATCTGAAGCTCCAATACTTTGACCATCTCATGAGAAGAGAAGACTCCCTGGAAAAGCCCCTGATGTTGGGAAAGTGTGAAGGCAAGAGGAAAAGGGGACGTCAGAGGATGAGATGGTTGGACAGTGTCATCAAAACAACCAACATGAATCTGACCCAACTCCGGGAGGCATGGGAAGACAGGAGGGCCCGGCGTGCTCTGGTCCATGGGGTCACGGACCCAACTCCGGGAGGCAGCGGAAGACAGGAGGGCCCGGCGTGCTCTGGTCCATGGGGTCACGAAGAGTTGGACACGACTTAACGACTAAACAACAACACTCTGAAGATGCCGGCCACAGAGACTGGCGAAACGTTAGGAAGAACAACCTTCAGAACATGGCCAAAGAGCCCGAAAAACCCACAACAACCATTAGATCCCGGCTGCGAAAGCCTTTGCGAATACATTGAACAACACTCTCTTAATAACAGCTAACAAGGAAATATATATTAATACTTTTTAACGTGTGTGTATGCGCGCATGCACACAACATTTTAAAATCCCACTGGTAGCCTAATTGTTGTGGTAACCAGATTCAGTGATATACAGTATATTGTTCTTAGGAACATCATAGGACTGTCCTATACCTGCCATTGATGCTACTGCGATATTTCCTGCAGCAAAAATAAAAGTGTGGTATGTAGCTGGCATTGGTAATGTGTGGAAGTAAACCTCACACTTTCTTTTCACTGGAAATGAGAGCAGTGCTGGAAAAAGTTGAAGACCACAGAAATAAAAAATTGACTAATTCAATAGAAGGAAGCCACTGCCTTGATTTTGAAGACCTGAGCAGAGACCCTAACAATAGGACCATTTGGAGATCATCAGTTCACAGGATTTCCATATGATAAAAGCAGCTTGAGACACACGGGCAACAATAAGCTTAACTGCAACATACAATGAATATCAAGGGAACTATTTTAATGTGTGTTGAAGGCCCTGTGTCCATCACCATCACCATCTCATTATTTAATAGGCCACTTCAAAAGTGAATGCTTAGATAAAGACTTTTAGTCAGTTCAACAATGCATTGGAATGTGGGGGAAGCAGTATACAGAAAAGTGCAAAACCTGGTTATTGTCCATCAGTCCTCTAGTAATACTGTAAACGTATATGACCTGGATGGGCGGGTGTGCATGGTTGCACGCTCACATGTTTGTTGCTAGTTACAGAAAATGTTAGGCCAACAAAAGATGCTTATAGGGTAGGTACTAGTTTCTGTAGCAATTACTAGCATCTGTATATGGATGACTGTGGAGATTGAGCCAGATCAAGAAATTATACAGAGGGTTGTAGGAAAGCTGTGTACATTATAAATCTGTCACATACTGTAGTTTATTTTGTGATATGTTAAGGCCACAAAAGCTTTGTGGCTGCAAATTGTTTGGAGGTCCCTCATGGGCAGAGAAGCAATAAATAAATAATAAGGGAGATAATACATATGTGGAATTGTGCAGCAGGCATTAGAGCGAGTTTAAGAAGTTTAAGAGGAATCATGTGCTGGAATCCGTTGTGGTGTGAGAGACAACAACAACAAAAAAAAGCGGGTCAGGTGAAGGTCTGAGATTTGACTTTGGACCTGATGCCTCTGCAAGATGTTGATAAAAACACATGTATGACTTTGTTCCAAGGATGAAATCACTGCTGTTTTGCACAGCTTGCTATGGAATCAGTTAAAATACTGGAAATCTCGTACTTCTGTGGTACAGGTTTTAATTTGCCAACCAGGATAGAACACAAAGGAATAAATAATGAAGAACAGCGGTGGTATATTTATGTGTGTAAAAGAAATGCACAGCGGGATTCTCTGTATGTTAACTTTAAATGGTTGTGATGAAACAACTGTGTCAACAGAATGAGTGTAAATATGCAAGGGATGTATATTAAAGAGGCTGATTATACCCCCTCATTTTAGATAGATATAGATATACTGTATACATATTCACAAGAAAGTAACTATGTTAGTCTGTTGCAGCAAAAACTGGGCAGCAGTCCATGAAAGCTCATGTCAAATAAACTTGTTAATTTTAAAGGTACCACAGGACTCTTTCTTATAGGAGTGTGTATATGCTCTTGCAGTGCAATGGTTAACACTGGAACCTGGGTCTGTGGTTCAAATCTTCCTCAGCCACAAACATATTGGCTAGTCTTCGACATCCTACTGCCTTACTTCCGGAGCCTTCCATAGTTAATATGGAAATTATGTTGGTACTATATCATCACAAAGATTTCTGACATAAACACATTTGTAAAACTCTACACCAGCACGTAGAATTTTGAACTCTTGAAATCAGAAATAAGTAACTCTAGAATGATTCATATGAAGGGGTTGCAATGTTCAAGAGGAACAAAGGATGGGATTCATGATGGGGGAAATGCTGGTTCAATTCCCAGCCAGGGTAACTATGAGTGACCTGCTGATTTGAAAGCTGTGCCCTCCCCTCCCAGATGGCTCCCCTAATTCATAGCTGTTGCATTGAACCTTGGGAGGCTGTTTGCTACATTAAACACCACCATCTTACAGATGTTCAGCTACAGACTCAGATATTAATTTCCTTCAAAATCGGTGCATGGTCAAACACCGAGGGAGTAGATCTATGAGGGTATCTCCCATATTTGTGTGTGTTTAATGTTTTTCTTTTAATGCAAAGCAGTTATGATGGCCCTGAGATGGACTGGGAATGTGAAAGTGGCTGAAATTCTTTTGCTTAGCATAGTAAATCGCAACTAGAATCAGCCCATTGAATGAATTTTAGAAGAAGGAGCCATGTTAATCTGTGCTGGCATATCAAGCAAAAAGAAAATTAAAAAATGAATGAATGAATATGTGGGGATTTGATGAGTCAACTCCCATATATGCTCCATTAATGCAACAGGCCTACGCTAGTTGTGAATTACAGTATTGCACTAAACAATAGCATTTCAGACACTTGTTTCCTCAATTCCAAATATAATCCCTTGTCCACCATCCAGTAGATAGCTGCTCTGTGAAGGATACATTTCATACTTCTGTGTTTTTGTGTGATGATGATGATGACTAATCATCATCATCATCATATCATCATGTGCCCTGCTTCATATTTATATTGCATGAAAATATGGGGGTAATTGATATTAGCCATAATGACAATATTCTACAACTGGTACAAAAGAATATTTTGCTAATAGACATTTAGATTAACTAATTATTTTTCCTGTTTTTTGTTGGTCTATCTGTCTTTTTTTCTTTCTTTCTTCTAAACTGTCAGGAAACTTCTGCTGAATACCCTAAATTGTGTCACCACCACCACCACCACCGACACAAAAACCACCAAGAGGATATTTCTGTTTTTGCATGTATATTTACAGAGAAAACACCAAAGTAAAACTTAAGTTAAATGTTATGTTAGGTACCATTGGGTCAGAACCAACGTATAGCAACTAGGGCTTTCCTGCTGAAATAAAATGAGTGTTTTTATCAGTTCCACACAGGCAGTGAGCTTCCATGGCTGAGTGGAGATTTGAACCCATGACTTCCAAAGTCCATTACTCTATCCATTACACCACACTGAGCAAGTTAAATGGTGTGTGTGTGTGTGTGTCAAATTAAAATGTATTTAAATGCCTACTAGCAAAACATTTTCTGTTGCAAACACTGCACTGTATAATAATGTGTGTACATCTATACTGCACATATTGTGTGTGCATACACATAATATGCACATACATATACTCTAACTATATGTCTCATATATACGGTGCTGAGCCTACACTATCGCTTGTAACAGCTTGAGTAGCAAGTATGATGAGGTGCAATCCAAAGAAACAAAACGAAGACAAAAACAGGGGGCACTTTGAAGATTAACTATTATACAGTACTTTGTGTAATTGGTTGAGTCTGTAAGGTGCCCCCCGTTTTTGTCTTTGTTTCCTTTGCTTTCTTTGCACTTCGCCTGGTATGCCTGCACAGACTGCCACGGCGACCTCTTCTACAACCACAACCACGAGCGGGACCACAAGGCTCTCTTGCCAATATACACCGCCGTCCTCTTCCTTCGCCAGGACTGAGACGGCTTTAAAACAAGCGTGTGCGCGGATTCACCCCTTTCTTTTCCCCGCCCCTTCCCCGCACCCCGCAGCCAATCAGACCGGCACAGGTGATATTATAGACAGGGTTGTGGGCGGGGCCCAGAGCGGTCACGTGAGCCGTGCGGGGGCAAAGGCCTGCGGAGGCGAGCCGGGCAAGATGGCGAAGGTGTCGGAGATGTATGATGTGACTTGGGAAGGTAATGCGGGGCCTCTCGGGGTCGGGTGGAGGTGGGGCCCGGAAACAGGAGAGTGGCGGGTGGGGTGGGGTTTGAACAGGGGGGTTCTCGCCGCTTCGGACGGAGGCTTGGGCGGGCTGTTTCCCCCTCCTTGGCTGCCTCAGCTGCCTCGCCTCCCGCCAGGGAAAGGGTTGAGCGGGCAGCCCCTCAGAACTTGCCTTTGGACGCCGTGGGCCCTGTGGAAGGGAGGCCAGCGTGGTGTAGTGGGTAGAGCTCCGGACTCAAGGCCCGCGAGTCCTGAGTTCGAATCCCCTCCGGGGCGTGGAAACGCATTGTTGGGGGTGGCTGTGCTAAAAGCTGTCTCTCTTACCTGCTTTGTGCCAACCCTCTTCGGGTCCCCTTGAGTCGGATGGGACTTGGAAGTAAAGGCGGCCCCCATGAAAGCGTCAAAAGGCATAAATTCCCCTTGATGTTGCCTCCGTGTAATCCCATTTAGGGAAAGTTCAGGACTAGATTCGAAGTAGCCCCCTCTTCCCAGCCTTTTTAAATGGGTTTCGGACTGTGATTTATGGAGATGGAGAATGCCTGTCAGATCTGGATCAACCCTCCCAATGTTGTCAAGCAGGTCTTCTTTAAAAAGTCCTCCTCAGAGGTCCTTAATTTCACCCCACAGGCTCAGGTGTAAACAAATCTAAATATACATAAACGGCACCAGCTTATATTAATTTCATGATGTCTTGGTCTTTTCTTATCCACATGTGTCCCACTAGCAAAATATAGATTGTAAGCGCTGTGAGACAGGAAACTGTCCTTTTTTGTTATGTTATCTTATAGAATTATAGTGTATGTTGATAGGCCTGTGTAAGTAGTATTCACTGTAAAAGTGTAATAATCCCATGCAGGCTTCAGTGGATGTGGATTTCTGTGTGTGTCTCTGTGTTGTTTTTAACTAGAAATTAGTAAAGTGCTTCTCATTCCTGACAGTAGTATGATTACTTTTATTTGATGTATGTAGAACAGTGCATACAGAAAATCCTATCACACAGTTATAATTTATTAAGATTCTACTTTTAGTGGGGAATTTTCTCGACTTGTTCTGCATTCAGTACTGCTGCTCATTTTGTTGCTTTAGTACCATTGGTAGTTGAGTAGAGTGGATATTCAGAATCCTGATGTGGCATAGACAACCCTAAAGCTTTTGTTCTTAAATTCTGAGTAATTTAAGAGATGATTTGTGAATCACAGATGCAGCAGTTCTAGCCTGGATATGAAACCAAGGGGAGTCACTATGTGTGAATTGATTAAATTGGTTCAAACTCATATCTTGAGGGTTTTGAAAGCTCACATTTAGTCTTTTAGATGCCACAGCATTTTTGCCTTCTTTATTTTTTCATTTTTGTTTTGCTTGACATGGTAAAATCATGCCATAGTCTTAAATGTCTGCTGCCTAGAGTGGTCCGTTGGGCCATATAGGCGGGGTATAAATCAAATAAACACATAGTCTTAGATGTCTGAAACTTGATCCTACTATTTTTCACACTTAAGATTTTCATTCCCTGCCTTGAAAGGTTTCTTCTGAATCAAAGGATGAGCTGGTACCCACAGGAAGGGATTGCCTCCACGTCCCATGGGCCCTCTGTGACTCCCTGCCAAGTATTCATGGCAGGCATTGGGCGGATCCCTTCTTGAAGACATTATCCCAGTACAGACTCTTCTCTTGTACCTGGAGGTAGGGTGGATTATGAAGAGCGAGAAGAAGCAGGTGGGGAAACACCTGCAAAGTAGGTTTCCCACCAAAAGAAGGATATAAAGGAAGTGATTGCCTCAGACAGGGAGGAATTAGACCTTGGGGTTGTTGGCAGAGAAGTAGAGGAGGAAAGTGAGACCAAGGAGTAGCTGACACTCCAGTGAAATGGGCAGTTGGACACCACTAATTATGGTAAGCAGTTAGATACCACTATTCATGCTGACTGTAATTATTCAGAAGGTGGTCATCCTTTAGGGTGAACCTTCCCATCCTCCCAGCTGAAGAGATTGACAATAGACTCCAGGAAGAACTCTAGAGCAGTGGTCCCCAACCTTGGGCTTCCAGATGTTCTTGGACTTAAACTGCCAGAAATCCTGGCCAGCAGAGGTGGTGGTGAAGGCTTCTGGGAGTTGTAGCCCAAGAACATATGGGGGGCCAAAGTTGGGGACCACTGCTCTAGAGAATCCAGCAGGGTTGAAGTTGAACTGGGACTTGTGCCAGAAGGGAAGAAGAAGGAGCCTGCTGTAGTGATTGAGCTGACTCTGACCAGCTGTGTCTCTTGTTAAATTGTCACAAGGGACAATTTAAAAGACTGCAAAGGCTGGCTAAGGATATTTGAGAGGGGAACATGTGGGTTGATAAAACTTGATTCAGGGTAGGACTGCCTGGTAACAGAGTGCAGTGAAGGTAACCTCATTCCATCACCTGTAAGTGACTCAGGAGGCTAGAGCTAATTTCCCCATGGACAGTATGGTGACTTGAACTGGTTAGTGGAAATAATATGTTTAAAGTTTTGAATAAACTTTCTCTGACTGAGTTGACAACTGTTTCTGAGGTACCTTTAGGATGACAATAGGCTCCAGGAATAGGAGTCTAGGATGTAATTTATGGTCCCCATCCCTTCAGATGAGGCATACTATTCGTGGGGGGGGGGGTTTAAAGAAAATACTTTGCACCTGGTAATATAACCTTCTAATCATGTGTGTTCATTCTCTTAACATTCACATAGGTAAGCCTCTGTGAATAGTGATTTGGCTAACTGCTTGTGGTGAATGAGCATCTTTTGCAAGTTTCCAATAATGGGAGTCCTGAAAATGGTGATTCTCTTTCCCTATTCCCTTTCTCCATCTAGGTCTGCATAACCCAAGACTCATAAAATAGACTGCAGACTTGCATGATAAGCTGCTTGCCAGGAGGATGTCTGGTTTTGCTATCTGTCTGGGTCTGCAGATGCATTTCCTAGCAAGACAAAAATACATGGCTGCATTTGGTGTGGTGGCTCACAAGTTGTATAGATCTGTTCTGGGCTAAAGGATAACTCCTGTAGATATATGCAAGCAGATCTAGTGATCTTGTAATATTCGAAATTCACTTATAAAGCTACCTGCCTAGACTTTCTTACTCATATAGCCCTTGTCATATGCTTTGCCAAAGTAATGAAGGAAAGTGAAATCAGTTTTCATCTCTTAATTGTGGCCTGACAATATTTTTGTGATTTTTCATTTTCTACATATTTTTGGATGTGAGTCATTATAATGGAACTGTCGGGCATTATTGGTAACTATCATATGAAGCCCTAGTTACAGGATTAGGAGGCTGAAAGTTTAATATATAACTGTAAGACAACAGCCAGATCCCAGCACGAACCAATTAATAATGATACCTGAGCACCAATTAATATGAAACTTTAGCAATGTGGAAACAGTTGTCAACTCAGCAAGAAAATGTTTATTCAAAACTATGTAACCCCTTCATGTCACCACCTTGTCCATGGGGAAATTGTCTAGCCTTAAATATAGGTGGGATGTAGCCAATGTATTGAGTTTTAAGTTCACCTAGTTATGTATACTCAAGATGTTATGTATAAGTTGTTTTGCACAGCTAACACAGTTTAAAACACTGCTCCTTCAGTTTCTAAGTTGTCATTTGAAGGTATAACCAAACCCAGGTTTTTACTTGAGCAATAAGCTAATTAACCTGTTTTCTTCTTTATTATTATGTTATGTGGATTTTGATGGCATGGTTTATATTTATTTTGTCTCACGGATTTCATTGTAAGCCAGATGGAGTATGTCTTATAGTGAGAATATAAATTTGGAAAATCAGATAAAACATAATTGCTTGGGGTTTTTTATATACAGTATAAAGTTTTTAAGAAGTAATGTCCAACCTGTTTTACTCTTGTGTTCATGTTTATGTAAAAAGTGTTGCTGAAATGCAGCATGTTGTGACCTGTAACCTATAAAAGCAATTTAGTTCATTTCAAAATATGTGTAAATGTGTGTATAAAGTGGTTGTGACATTCCTGGGTATTGTTTCTTTCTAGGGTGCTTAGATATTGAGAAATCCATCCTAGTGTGGTTGATTTAAATTAAAAAGTCCTAGTTGGTTTTACATTTCAGCAGTGTTAATTAGTTTTATGAAAGTCTGGGCACAGTTACACTATGAAAATGAACTGGCAAATGGGTCAGGGTTTTTGAAGTTGTGTTGAAGTTATGTGATAATCATGTTGGTTTGGGGTTGTTGTATGCAACCTTTTGAGAACTTTTAATCCATTTTAAAACTGTATTGTGTATCAGTTAAGGAGGCTTTTAGAATTATTGCATTACATGTTTTGTCCTGATCCTGCCTGTCCTTGCGGTGGCTGTCTCTCACAGCCACTCGCTTATCACTACTGTGATAATATTTTCAAATATTTTTTAGAATTTCTTTCAAAGTGGGATACTGCTGGATCAGCATTACAGGAAAAAAAACAGATTGGACTGGAGGGTTTCTGAACAGCTGTACGCATCCACATGGACACACACATACTTTTGGAACAGGCTCACACATCCACATGGGAACATGCACACACATGAGTGGGGTGAAGGAGAGAAAGGGACAGAACCAGCATAACTAGTAAGAGAGAAGGCACGCTAGTGGGCAGCAAAGATAAATTACCGTATTTTTGCACCATAAGATGAGCAGCAAATATAAATTGTCATATTTTTTGCACCATAAGACGCACTTTCCCCCCACAAAACGGGGGTGGTGGAAAGTCTGTGCGTCTTATGGAGCGAAGAAAACAGATTATATTTTCCTGTTTTCTTCTAAAAAATTGGTGTGTCTTATGGAAAAGTGTGTCTTATGGAGCAAAAAATACGGTAATGAGGGAAATTGACAAGATCGACTGCTTCTGAGGCTGAGAATGCTTCCCTGCAACCCTTCTCTCTCTCCTGGCTCTTTTCTGATTTTTTTTAAAACTAAGCTATACTTTTATCTTTGTTCTCTGTGG